CCAACATTCAATGAACTACAATTTTAATAACCGCCATTAATTTAATGCTGTAATAAGGTTCCTTTAAGCAAATCCTACCCATTTTGCGTTCCACCTCCACAATGAAAATAATGAGGCAAGTATACTCACAAACCAGATCACATCTACTAGGACGAAACGTCACTTTCGAGAGCCAAGCTTCAACTCGAGTACGAAATTCCTGAATGCAGTGAATGTCATTTTTGGGACCCGAGTCAACGAATAGGTAGCGAGTGTGGTACGGCGCCAGTGGGGTGTGTAGCTCGGTCTTGGGAGCCTTCTGAGGGAATTCAACTTGAGTCGTTCCCTAAATAGCGAAATGTCAAAAGTGGCGACTTTGAAGGAAATAGTACGGACAGCAGCACGCCATAATGTATCGCATTGGATTGTAAGGTCTAGAAATGTGGGAATAAATCAACATATCTTGGAGTGCTTAAACTCTTGTTGATGAAAAAGGCAGTTTGAGGTGAACACTCACATCGGGAAAACTTTTATAAAAAAAGGTTTTCAAAAGGCTTTTTTATAGGCATCCCGGAGAAGACCAGGTATCAGCAATGTGACAATGTCGTGAGATGATTAAGGGTGCAAGTAGATGTAAGCGGATTGACAATAATTCTTAAAATGGCATCTCGACATATATTGTCTAAAGTTAATGTTGCATTCATTAACGATTTGGTATAGCTAGAAAAGTGTAAAATGGACTGAAGTGTGATATTTCCATGAACGAGCATCTCTGACCACGAATGAGGTTTTACATATTTTGGATCGGCTTAACAATTTTATGTAATAAGAATGGAAGGTTTCTCGAATAACGAAAGGATCTTGATCTTAGGACCTACCATATAGTTCAAAGAACGAAGATGCGATTGAAAGGGCAGCCGTCGCCATGGAACGATCCCAATTACTTGCAGACGTTTCAGTCGATAGGCCTCAGCATAGCCACACATACCCAAAGACATCACTTCCGAGACGCTGCCATATTGTCCATCTGTGATAATCCACGTTACTAAAATGTCATACACATTTTGATGTGCAATAAGCATTACACGTGGCTTTCTAGAACAAAAATAAAACCTAAGCGAAAGGATTTGTAATGTCTGCTACAAGATGATTGCCATGCGGTACAAAATCAACTTAATGACACAAAATTGGGCATTGCGACCTAATGTAACCGGACAGTTTTTTGAAGTGTGAATATTGGTAGAGTAAATTCGTTCATTCCTTAGACCTGCGTGCGGATATTAGATTGGCAGTGTCGAATGCTCGTCAAACAGTTATATCAAGCATGGAGGATGTATTTGGCATATAGTGAATATTTCAACTTAAAAATAAGAGATGGTAAGCTCTTTTAAATGTGATTGTTGGAATCTTGGCAGGTTAAGGGAAGGATGCAAACACTATCCTCCGATTTTAAGACTTTCATGAATGCGCTGATGAGCCTCGTTAATCATACGACAGAAG